TCGGAATTGCGGTGGGTTTGGAAAAGGAGCTTGATAAGCTTCGCGATTCTCTCATTCTCATTCAATCTGTCATCCAACACGCAGAGGAAAGGCAAGAAAGTGACCCAGCTATAAAGCATTGGCTACAGAAGCTGAAAGACGTAGCGTATGAGGCAGTGGATGCATTGGGTGAGTGTGAGTACAAGATTCTTAAGAACAAAGTTAAGAGTCATAGGTACTCGAATCCTGAGTCTGTCTACTTTTCTCCCTCGTTTCGTAATCGTATGGCTACCAAAATCAACAACATTATTAAGCAGTTGAATGACTTGAAAGACTGGGCCAGTATGATCAACCTGGTGGTCACATTGAGAGGCCAATCTTGTCCTAAGCAACATCCAAAGACAGATTCTTTTCTTGATAATTCCACAGTATTTGAAAGAGAAGACGATGTCTCAAGAATTCTCGGCTTGTTGCGTGACTTGAGGAGGAGTCAACATCCCATCTCTGGCATTTCTATTGTAGGTATGGCTGGGATTGGAAAGACAACAATAGCAAAATTAGTATACATGAAAGCAAAGGAAGAAAAGCTTTACGATCTAGCTGCTTGGGTGTGTGTATCCGAGGACTTCAATGATCAAATCATTTTGGGAGAGATGTCAGAGCATTTTGGTTGTAGTGCTGCTACAAGGAATAGTATTAATGCATTGCTTGAAGATCTTGCAGAAAAATTAGAGAATAAAACTTTTCTTCTCATTCTTGATGATGTATGGAATGAAGATCCTGACAAGGGGGAACACTTCAGCTCTTGTTTGTTAAAAATTCTGAAGACTACTGGGAGCTCTATTGTCATAACAACTCGTAGTGGAAAGGTAGCATCTACAATGGAGTCGATTCCTATGCAACGCTATGACATGGAGAGGTTATCAGATGATGCATGCTGGTTGATAATAAAAGAGAAATTTCTTAGATCATCCACAGAAACTTCAATGACTCCTGATTTGGAAGCTATTGGACAGGATATTGCCAAAAAATGTAGAGGTTTGCCATTAGTTGCTAGTGTAATCGGAGGAACATTGAGCCGTCAAACTAGTGTAGATAAATGGAAGGATATCAGAGATGATAAAGCATGGAATTTGAATTCACGAGATGGAGATAAGATTTTATCTATTTTGAAAATAAGTTTCAATCATTTGACTTCTCCCTTGAAAAAATGCTTTTCTTACTGTTCAATTTTTCCAAAGGATTTTGTCATAGAAAAAGATGATTTAGTTCAACTTTGGATGGCTCAGGGGTTTCTTTACCAACCTAATGAAAGCTCTGTGACAATGGAGGATGTTGGTAATGATTACTTTAGTGATTTGTTATCTAACTCCTTATTTCAAGATGTGTACAGGTGCAAATTTGGGAATATCAGATCTTGCAAGATGCATGACGCAGTGCATGATTTGGCACTGTCTGTTTCAAAAGGTGATACTTTTATATGGGAGACTGGTTGCATAATTGACCAGGATGCTAAAATTCGACATTTAAGAGTTAAGCATGACAAGAACGAGCGTCCAATCATTCCTAGAGCTGTTGCTCAAAGATTGCATTCTTTGTTCTTGGAAGAGGTTGATGTTTTCATTTCCAGTGCATCTGATCTCAAAAGCTTGCGAGCTTTAAAAATAGTGGGAGCTAAGGGGGAACAGTTGCCCATTATTCTTGGCAAATTGAAGCATTTGAAATACCTTGACATCTCAAGAAGCAAAATAAAAACACTACCAACATCCTTTTTCAAACTCTACAAATTGCAAACTTTTAGACTTATGGGGTGCTTTCATCTACAGATATCTGATGAGATTAGAAATCTGATTAGCTTAAGACATGTTTATTTTGACAGTGAAAAGCTGATGCCAAGAGAGATTGGGCATTTAACTTCCCTTCAAACCTTACCATTATTTGTTGTGAGTAGGGCAAACTTGGACCAACTTGGATGCCTAAGTCAACTTGGAGGAGCATTGAAAATATGCAACCTTGAATTTGCCAGAGCTATGTCATCAGAAACCGTCAAAGCAAACTTGGACAAGAAGACAAAATTGTATGAGTTGGAAGTTGGATGGAATAGAAACAATGAAGGCTACAACAATTATGAGGTTTTGGAAGGCCTAAGGCCTCCCTCAAATTTGAAATACTTGAAAATTGAAGGTTATAAGGGAGAAAAGTTTCCGTTGTGGCTGGAGATGGGTGTTAATTCTTTTGGCGATTCCTCTCCACTAAACAATCTGTTGACTTTGAAATTATATGACTGTAATGAATGTGAAGAGATTTTGAGTTTGGGATTTATACCTAAGCTCGAGGATCTTGAAATAAGACGAATGCCAAAGGTGAAACGTATGGGCAGCAAGTTTTGTCTTGACGAAAGCAGCATGACAAGTAGTAGTTGTGGTGACAAAAAATCAATCATATTGTTCCCGGCTTTGAAAAGACTCACTATAAGAGACATGGAAATCCTAGAGGAATGGGCAGAAATAGAAGGCACCACCATCTTTCCTTGCCTAGAGGATTTGTATGTTGAAAATTTTCCGAAGTTAAAGACCTGGTCAATGAGTGGGTTTTCTTCTCATCATAAGCTCTCAAAAGCGGGTATCCATGATTGTCCGAACCTGGTGACTCTTCCAAGTATGGAACGGCTCTTATCTCTTAGGAGTTTAAGCTTAACTAAATCAGGATCTCTCCCAAGTGGGCTGGGCTACTGCAGTTGTCTCAAGTATTTGGGCCTTCGACAGTGCTGTATCTCCTTTCTGAGCATGAAAGAGATGATCTCTCTTGAAACATTAGAAATTTTTCAGTGTAAAGAACTGGTTTGTGTGTCAGGGCTGGAATCCTGCATCTCTCTCCAAAAGTTGAATATTCTCGATTGTGCCAATCTAATTTCTATTTCAGAAGATGTTGGAAGATCAAGTTCGCTTACTTTTTTGGAGATTATTGGTTGCGAAAATCTAAGGAGCATTCCAGAGGAGTGGCTGGGTAGGAATACCTTGTTGAAGGGGTTAAAAATCGGTCGTTTCTGGTCAGGGTTGGAGGAATATCCAGGACTCACTTCCATCCATCAACTACATGCCTCCCTTGAATTTTTGACACTTTGTGGGTGGGATAAACTAAAGTCTTTGCCACATCAGCTTCGACATCTCACTGCCCTCAAGCAATTGATCTTAGTGAACTTCAATGGCCTGGAAGCTTTGCCAGAGTGGTTGGGAGACCTCTCTTCTCTTCACAACCTGCTGATTGGGAAATGCTCTAATTTGACTCATCTGCCTTCAATTGAAGCCATGCGACACCTCTCCAACTTACAATCTCTTCATATTTGGTGTTGTCCCAAATTAGAAGAAAGATGCGCCAAAGAGAGCGGCCCCGAATGGGCCAAGATTTCCCACATACCCAACATCACAATAAATGATGTGTACCTGCAGCTGCGATCCAAATAAGAGAGTGAGGTATGTTTAATTTCTCAAACCTAAACTGTTGGGTATAATGGATTCATAACATACACCTGCGAGTTTGATGAAACGTAACTTGGTTATTCATGCAATTGAATGGATAGGATAAACTAAAGCCTCTGCCACATCAGCTTCAACATCTCACTGCCCTCGAGTCATTGCAGTTATATAACTTCAACAGCCTGGATGCTTTGCCAGCGTGGTTGGTAAACCTCACTTCTCTTCATAGCTTGGGCATTTATAACTATGCCAAATTGAAGGTTCCACTAATAGAGCAGGCCCGAGAATCTATTAATAGATGTGGATCACGCGCAATCCAAATGACACTGGGGTATGTTCAATTTCTTGAACCTGAATCCTTCCATTCTACCATAATAACTGATTGTCACTAATTGGATGCAGCCGAACTGGAGCGTTTAATGCCTATCAAGGTTTGCTTTACTTTAACAGCAGGTATATCTTGAATTACATTGTAATTTTGGGAGTTTTGTTTTGGATGATAAATATATGAGAAAACATTCCTTGTCTGAGGTTGGGGCAGTTCGAGATACAAATGACTGAATTGAAGACAATGAGCATTGGTCCTGCCTTCATATGGGATATGCTTGTGTTAGTTTTTCCCGGGGAAAAAAAGTAAGTCAGTAGAGGTAGGCTCATGCTGTCTCAAAATTATGAGGATGTGCATCTGCCTCAATTTTTCTAAAAAAATCTGGTTTGAATGCTGGTAGAAAAAATTGCATGCTTTGAACTTGATCTCTGTGATTGATCTTGATTGGTAAGTGAATTAAATGCTGTGAACTTAGCAATTGCATGCTGGTAGAAAAAATTGCATGCTTCGAACTTGTTCTCTGTGATTAGTAAGTGAATTATATGCTCTGTGGACTTTATCTCTGTGATAGATCCTGTTTGGTAATGCAAAAGGTCTCGAGGTCAAAATAAGATTTGGGGATTCCACTTCCCATACAGTATGATTAAGTGATAGTTCGTTTCTTATGTTAAGTTTCAGATATATGCCTGTCTTCCATGAATCTGATTGTAAATTTGTTTTCTTATTTTCATCTTGTTGGATTGTTATTAAGATATCTTCCTGTTGTACTGCAGGGCATAACATCTCTCTCATCCATGTGCTCGCTGTATTATCAGCTGGTGGATGTTCTTTTTGAAACAGAGATGGATCGAAGAGACAAAACAAATAATTTGCATAAACATATATTTGCAGGATAGGAGCTTCAAGATTTGATTTTTCAGGTCTATATTTGTCATGGCCCTGCTTTTGAATTTTAGTTTCATATGATCAAAATACTAATTTATGCTGTAACTTTTTTTAAATAATGTAGGCTTCTATTTTTCCTCATATCCATTATTCTGTTTCTGTATTACACATTGAAATTGGAACTTAATAAATTGAGTTGTTTCTATATGGATTTTCTAAATTTAATTAATATTTTGCAGGAAACCCATATTGGGCATGGTTGCCCAAATTTTCCTTCTCAACTTTCAGTTCCAGTCCTAAATTTTGCCACAGCAAAGTTCCAAATAGGTTTTCCTTCGTGTCCAATCATAATTAAGGTCAGCCTTTTAGCTTCCATTTGCAATATACATAATGCAATTTGACCTGAATTGTACGTTCTAAAGAAACTTGAACGCAATGCTTCCTTTATATAGTTGCTTTTTTATGAACTGATAGTGAAGTCTCTATAAAACATTTGCAGGGGACTTGAATTTTACTCTTGCAGCAGCGACGACAATTGCTGAGAAGGTTCTATTTTATTAAAAGCATCAACTGCAACATTGTTTGTCATCTTAACTGCAGGTAGCTGCATTATCTTAGCTTTAAAAGGAAGAAATAAGTCCAATAAAGTGTGATTTATCCTGTAAAGTTTAATTTCCTGCTACTTCTGTTCCCACTGAACTTTCTATTACAAATCATACAAAAGGAAGTTGAATGCAGAAGAGAAGAAGAGTGAAGCATCACTCATGCCGAAGAATCTGAGCTCTTGAAAATTACTAACAACATCTTTTAAGGAGTTCCTTGTAAAGGTCTGCACCTCTGACCCCTAAAATTCTTTTGAGTTCGTTCCCTTATGTTAAACATTAAGCTGTGACTCCATTAAATTGTCACAAGCACTTATCTACCAGTACATGGCTAATCAAGACTCAAAATAGCAGTTGTCAGGTTCTTTGAAATACTTGAATCCAATAATATTTATTTTGAACTTTCATAAACTCAAACAGAAGTTATATCATTAACTGTTGTGTGAATGCAGATAAGAATGTATCTAATTTCGAGCTGGGAGAGTCTTCTAATAGCAAAGAGCGCTCTGCTTCTGATCATACTTAGTAGAACCGGAGGCCGATTTTCATGGTGAGACTTGACTAGATGTGGTTCATTTTTCTAAAGTTGAAGTGATTATCTCTTTGCAATTTGCATCAATATAATTAGTATGTAGAAATGCTTTAATTCAGGGCGTAGTAGCTTCATCCAGGAAGATTCCTAGATTCATATGATTTACTAATAGAGCGGCTTCCTTTTTGCAGGTCTTATATGCTGATAATTTAAATGCTTTTATTCTGCACCTGCTGCAAACAGAAATAGAAAAACTTCATGAAATCTGAAGTGGAGGGCTATTGGAGTATCTACACCATGTAATCATAAGGAACAGGTAAGAGTTTTCAGCGTTAATTTGCATTAGGTTACTATTTTAAAGCCTCCTTTAGCTTTTGTTTAGAAACTAAATTAATTTACATTTGGTACTAAAACAGATGTTTTTGTGCTTTCCAGTTTTCATAGTTGTTGTGCATCAAAGCCATCAGCGAGTGTTAACCAAAGCAATTCATATAACTGGTAAGTAGCTATTCATCAATTCCAGCAGTTGCTTCATCCAGGAAGAGAATATATACCTTGACAGGTTCTGGTTTACTGACAAAGCAGCTTTGCAATTTATTGCAGGCCTTGTTTTATGGAAGATTTGGTTTTGTTCTGCACTTGTTGCAAACAGAATAAAACAACAGAACAACATCAAATCCTTTGATTATCTTGGAAAGGGGCTCTGAGATAATTGGCACAATTTGATTCGAAAGGAAGTCTAAATCTCCATCGTCAACTTCTGGTTTCCAGGGTGGATCAACTTTGGCAAATAGTTCCAGGATTTTGTCTACTTTTACTATATATATATATATATATATATATATTTCTTTATCTTCTTGATTATGATTCTTACAGTTTGTGTAATGTTATTCTTTATGAGCCGAAGAAAAACCCCATGAATTACCTAATTTCAAATTTTAAGAGAGTAGCATTTGATTCAAAGATTCTGCATCTATCTAGATTTTCTCTCCTAGAAATCGTCTTGTTTCTTTTCTTTCACTCGATAATAAAGAACATGGAAGTTCATGTTAAAAGCTAATATGTGCAGTAGTTTTCAAGGCCAAGATGAAGATCCAAAATGATCATAATCAATTACGAGGAAAAGAATGCAATGTTATAACATAAGCAAAGATATAGCTAGTACCGAAACAGATTCAAATTAAGTAGAGGTTGATCAGGAAGATTGAAGAAAATGAACACTGAACTTGTATTCAATTAATCATAACATGATTAATTTCTCTCAATCTTATCAAAATATTCACGTTGAAACTATAGAATTCATGAAAAATTACTTTCTTATTACTCTTTCAAGGAATCAAATCTTGATTAACAAGATAGAGAGAAAACCCAAGTTGTTGATGCCGTACCATGCCGATTAGTACAACCAATACATATCGATTGGTATGGTCGGTATGTATTAGTTTTTGTATTAAATCAAAATGGTACATGATCCAATTTTATTTTAGTCAAATTTCGTTCGTTTTGGTCAAGTTTCGATGTACCAACGATATTTCGATCGACCGACCAGTATACAAAAGTTATTCAATACCACTTAATTCAAAATTTAAAAGGGTAAATTTTATTTTTAATCCTCAACTTTAGTGTTTTATATAATTTTTATCTTTTAATTTTTTTATATATTTTTTTAGTCAATTTTTTATATTTTTTTCAATTATTCTATCAATTACTTCATTAAGTTTGTTAAACAGACACATTTTTAGTCCCTTAATTTAAAGTAGATGAACAAAAAATATGCATATATTAGAAGTTGAGGGACTAAAAATGATCATTTTAAATTTATTTTCAATTTATAAAAATATAATAGTTTTAAATATTAATATCTCTTATCTCATTTTAAAATTTGATATTTAAGTTATAAAAATATATATTTATAATGATAAATCTGAAACAATACTAAAAAAAAATCTAATATCCAATATGTATCATTCCAATAACAAAATTAATATATAAATTGGTATGATATTGACAAGTTTGGAGCAAACTCCTTACTAACTAAACAACAACTACTTGAATTATTCTTGACAAGAATAGATTACCCACCCCGCTTAGTTGCTTACTATGTATCTGTAACTTTATTCGATAATATTTTATACAACACTTTATCTAAAAATATAAATTTATTATTCTTAATTAATTGTAATTAATTTTTTTTATAGATTTTTATTAATTTTCATTAATATTTTATAGAGTATATTTTAAGCTTGTAAAAGACAGAAATATCTAAAATTTCATTATAACACAACACAACACTAACAACGAAAGCCTGTGTAATTTTAGTTGTATTTTGCTTCTATTTTTCTTGTATTGTACTGGATTGATGTATTCTGTTTTTACATAAGGATGGAAAAAAATCAAGATGCTTTAATAATTAAAATATTAAAATTGATAATAAAAAAAATAAATATTTTTAATGAATCAACACATAAAAAAATTTATTAAAAAAATTTAAATAATTTTATAAAAAATTCTAATATTTAAATAACAGAACATTTTAACTTTTACTTTTCTCCTTTTACTATTAATAATATAAAAATATATTTTTGATATGAACTACATAAAAAGTGCAATTTAAGTATTAAAATTACTAGCACTTACTGCTTTAGCCGCGATGGAAGTGCACCAACGTCCTTGGCTTCTTTGTCAATGGTTCAAGCTGCCAGTGTAGCAATATTGTAAGTATTCCTCCATTCCCCAATTTCCCACTAGTAAAAAAAAAAGTATTAAAATTATTAAAATATTTTTAATAAAAAAATTTTTATTTATAATATTTTAATAATTTAAGTACTTAAATTATATTTTTATTCTGTGTGGAAAAATACCAAACTCTTAATAATATCTTTCGATTGAAAAAACGCAAGAAAATATTCTTAATTGGAGGCAAAAATGGTAATTATTCAAAATTGTTCGAAGTTCAAACAAGCAAGAAGACAAGAAACTAAACGCAGAGCCGTCGATAGCAAACATAAAAAAAAAATGGCAATACGATGTCGTTTGGAGTCATCATGCTTATTCCCATCATTCTCCGACCACTACCAGGCTACCAGTCCAGGCCCGACCGCCTCTCTTCTTTTCTTCACTGTCTAACCGTCCGTCCCGTCAGCTCTAGCTACTGTAGCCCCGTCGTTCTGTCGTCCAGATCCAGCCGGACATTTTCTCTCTTCTACCTTACCTTCCTTGTCGACGGTAAGACTAACCGATCGAGTGGGATCGAAATCTTTTGAAAATTTGGGGCTTTTTGTTAGCTTGGATTGTGCTGGTGATTGTCATCCTTTTCTGTTTGAAGTGTGGGGAACTTGGGAATCTCATTTTCATTCTTTTCTGTTTTCCTTCAAGTCCAATCATAATCTGTTTTAGCCTCTTAGCTTCTATTTGCAATAAATGTAATGCGATTTGACCTGAAATTGTACCTTGTAAAGAAACTCGAACACAATGCTTCCTTTATATGGTTGCCTTTTTTTTTTTTTTTTTTTTTTTTGAACTGATAGTGAAGTTACCACTAAAAGGTCTATTAAATATTTGCAGGGAACTTGAATTGTACTCTTGCAGCTGCGATGACTTGATTGCAGACATGGTTCTATTTTATTAAAAGCATCAACTGCAACATTGTTTGTCATCTTAACTGCACATAGCTGCATTTTCTTAGCCTTAAAAGGAAGAAATAAGTCCAATAAGTGTGATTTATCCTGTAAAGTTCACTAATATAATTTCTTGTTACTTCTGTTCGCACTGAACTTTCTATGACAAATCATACGAAAAGGAAGTTGAATGCAGAATAGAAGAAGAGTGAAGCATCATTTAAGTCAAAGAATTGACAATTTACATACTTTGAGCTCTTGAAAATTACCAACATCATCTTATAGGGAGTTCCTTGTAAAGGTCCGCACCTCTGACCTCTAAAATTCTTTTGAGTTTAGGGATTTGAAGTTAATTTTGCATTGCATTTGAGACGGTTCAGATAAGGTCAATTAGTTAGTGCATGGTCTACTTCCAAATCTGTTTTTTCTAAAAGAATTCTGCGTTATGAAAAAAACTTGTTTACTGCCAAATCTGTTTCTTCTAAGGGAATCATGTGTTTTGAAAAAATTTCCTCAATTTCTCAGCCAGTTTCTCAACCCATTGTTTTAAATCTCGTATGAGTATTTTGTCAATTTGTGCACTCATGCGATGTCTGCCTAAAATTTCCTCTTCAGATTAAGGTCAGCCCCGTACCTTCAATCCAGTTTGACATGAAATTGTTCTAAAGAAACATGAGCTGAATGCTTCTTTTATATATTTGCTTTGTTTAGCTGACAAAAGGCTAGTTGCATTAGACTTTTGCAGCAGCAGCAATGACATCACCATGGGCAAGGTTCTCTTTCTTTGTGGTTCAATTTATGAATTCACAGCTTTCTGCTTGTTATCCCTGTTGCATGAGACGCCGCTGTTAGAGTTCTTAAAACCTGGTGTGTCCTCAAATTATGTTATGTTACCCTAGCAGACCTTTTGGTTACTTTCCCCCCTTTTTTGATAGTTGGGCTGGTGTTGCTATAATTTGGAACGTCTTGACTTACAATCTCTTTCTACTGCACAGTGTTCCAAGTCAAGGCAAAGAGAGTTGCTTTGTTGATGGATGTTCTCTGTAATGCCCTCTTGCCAATATAGAAGACCCAACCAAAATCTTTCATATTTGAGGTTTTAATCCTGCTTTTATATTTCAAACATTTTTTTGACTTTTTTTTTGTTTTTTTATTTGTATTATTTATCTTTTTGTTTAGTTCAGTTTTGTTCTACTTTTATTTGTGTCTTTAATCTTCGGGAAACTTTCTAGGGAAGGAACTTCTACTACCTGGAATTCAAAATCTTGCACAACGGTAAACTTTCAAATGAAGTGACCCAGCCAGTTGAGTGGTTCTCTCCTCGAGTTGTTGGTGCACCACCCAGAAAAGGTGTTAAGGTCTGTGTTTGCTGATTTTCATGTTAAGAAGATTCAACTAGAGAAGTAATTCTCTCTAGAAGGAATCCTTAATAGCTTTGTCAATTCTGCCTGCATGTAAAAATTTTTGCCTTTGTTCTGTACCTATTGCAAACAAAAACACCAGTACTGGATCATTATGTTGTATCTGCACCACGGTATCATAAGGCACCGGAAGAGTTTCCAGCTTATATATGTTTCTCAGAAAAATTTAGATTTGCCTTATTTCTTTATACAATTATACAGGTTGATGGCAAAGAACCATATCTTGTTGTGAATTCAAACTTTGAAGAACTTGAGGCTGACTTTCATGCTAAGTAGAATCAACTAGAGACGTAATTTTCTTACTGCGTTTTGCATCCAAGTATATGGTTAGTAAGTAGCAGTGCACCAGTTCCAAGGATTGTTTCATGTAGGAAGATTGTTTCCATAGGTTATGGTTTACTAATAAAGTAGCTTTTCTCCTCGGAGGCCTTGTTTGCTGGAATATTTGCTTTAGTTCTGCACATTTTGCAAACGAAAATAGCAGAACTTCATCAAATCCTTTGATTGACTTGGAAAAGGGTTTTGAGATATTGGCACAATACAGGGGAACCACACTCAGTGTAGTCAACCTCTAGTTTTCAAAGTGGATCAACTTTTGGCATCAGCTTCAGCAAACTGAGTTTCAGTAAATTCTAAGAGTTTTCTTTTCTGGTTTAATGAATCTAGGGCTATAAATACTTGCGGAAAACACCACTAGAGCTTATTGGGTCACATATTCTTAGTGAGTGGTGAGGCTGGGTGTAATTGGGAACTCCTATTGGAGTAGGAAGAGTGATTAAACACACAAACCTACATTAATTGTTGTTGATTATAATGGTTGAGACATTGGCACAATTCAAGGGAGCCACACTGGTAATTTAGACTAGAAGTGTTAATTGTTGAGCTAGTCCTCTCCTATGTTGGCTTATGGATCGTGCTGCAAAATGAAACCTACAGCTTAAGAACGAAGAAAATAAAATCCTTCCAAGCCTTGGGGTCAATATCTAAAAAGCTAACTTTTTCTTAAGTATACCATAGCAATATGAGAGGTGTGCTCTCAAAATCCTTTGATAAAAGATTAATTTCAAGTTGTACAAAAATTGACCGGACACTCTAACCACCCAAACTAAAAAATAAAAAAGTAAAATCCGGAGCATTAAAGTCTTAAACTGGTTGCTAGCATTTTCAGATGCGACATGTAAATTTAGAGCTACTGAATCAAAATTCAAGTACCGACAGTATGTTCGGCGTTCCAAGTATTCTTCTTGGGGAATTAATTGTTGTTGTACCCTATAGTTCTACCTAGAGAAGAAACTCCACTAGCATGTGTTTTTTAATGAATCAGTGGTTTCCCCTTTTGTGTTTTCCAGTTAATAATAAGTTCTTGTTTTATTTTTCTTGGCTTGGAGGAAAACTAGGGGAATAATTAATTATTGTGTTTGCTAGGGGTTTCAATTCCCAGACATAATATTAAAATTGTAACTAAGAGGCTTGAAATAAAATATATTATAATAACCTACATCCGAGTGAAAATTGAATCAGATAGTTACCCAAATTTTCTCGAAAAAATTTTCATATTCCATTTAAGAAGAAATGAATGAAAAATGGAGGCATGTGTCATGAGACTAGAAAAATTTATCTTGGCTATAAAAATTTTATAGGACGCAGAGGTGCTTTTATTCTACGTGAGATGAATGACTGTTCCCATAGCACCCTTCTCAGGGCTCCGATTATTGTCACATGGAGAATGATTAAGCACACACAAATAATATTTTTTATATTATTGAATTCAGATTTTGCCTTTCTCACTTTTGCTGTTTTGCCTTTATATACCACTTCCATTAGAAGGAAAAAACGAAAGATATATAGGCAATTCATGTTGCACTGAAAATTAAAAATGACAATTAAAATAAAACAAAAAAAAATTCTTAAAATGACTAATAATATGAAACAGAGGATTGTGTGTCAAAATTTTGAATTTCTTAAACTAAGATTTCATTTAGATTAAATCCTCAATTTAGTCCCTCTACTTTGACAAAAAAAGTCTATTTTTAATCGCTCTGTTAAATTTTACATACGTGACACGTTAAATAACAAAATTTCAAAGTAAATAAACTAAAAATGGATTTTTTAGCCCTTTTTATCCTTTTATTTTGGCAAAAAAAACTCTTTTTTGGTCTCTCTACTTTGAAAAAACTCATTTTTAGTCCCTCAACAACGTGCTACAAAACAAAAATTTAAATAGAGGAACTAAAAATGACCAAATTTCAAACTTTAAAACCCAAAAAAAGAACTTTTTTTAAGTAAAAGGATTAAAAAGAATCTTCCTATTAGAACAAAAGGACCAAATTAGGGTTTTAACCTTTCATTTTTCTTTTCGATATTCGGAACAGTTTAGTTGACTTGAATTGTTCAAAAGATAAAGCAAAACTATCTTCGCGTCACGAAGAAATGAATTAATTTAACAAATTATTTATTAATTTTCATATTTTTTCAGTTTTATCTATTATTTTTGAACTTTTTTAATTCTATCTATTATCTTTCATATTTATTTCAATTTCATTTAGTCTGTTATCTTTAATGAAAAACTTGCTATTCTATAAGAAAATATTTAATCCCCTAATTATATTCTTTTTTATCTTTTAGTCCTTAAATGTATATTCACCTTAAAAATAGTTTTTATTCTTATCTTGCTAAAAAACTATTTTACAGAGCAGATCGTATGTCCTGTAAAATTATTTAAATATCTTAAATTTTATTTTTACATTATTTTTTCATAGACATTTAAATAATTTTACATGATAAACTACATACAATCTGCCATGTAAAGCATATTTACTCTTAAAACCTTTTGTTCTAAAGTTATTAAGTTTTATTATAAAATATTTCTTGAGTCACCATATTTTATTATGATTGTAGTGTCACTTTTTCAAAATTTAAAGGATTACTTTTTCCATTAAATCTAACAAAATTTTGTATGGTAGACTATTTTCAAATATTTTCTAAAGTTTATAGACCATTTACAAAGAAAATAAACTTTCTAAACTAAAATAAAATTAAACTGATAGTTAATAAACTAAAAATTAAATTAAGCCCCAAGAAATACAAGGGAAAGAAAATATCGCGGAAACATCAAACATGCCATTCATTTTCCTTGGAATTAGAAAGGAGTAAGAAACTTTCGCTTTCCGGAAAGTAAAATTTTTGAAATTACCTGAAATTAAAATTAATAAAAATTAAATATTAAAAATTTATTTAAGATGAGTTTTAACTTTAATAATTAAAAATATAAACTTATTTAATAACATTAAAGATATATTTTTTTATTTTTTAATAATCATAATATTATCTATCAAAAATATATAAAAATAAATTATTTTTTTATTTAAAACTACAAAATTTATAAAAATCAAAACTAAAAACCATAATTATACTAAACGAAAAACTTGCTCGAGAGGTTTATGTTATGATTATATGTGTAAGTTTTTTTGTCTTTGACAATATCTCAAAAATATATAAAATATTAATAATTAAAATTAATCAAAATATATCAAACATTGGTTAAAGTTAAAGTGTAGTTTAGAGAGCCAATCATAAATATATGCTGGAGATTGCATCTTGTCAGACAATTAATATATGTTAAGAAATATGGAATGGATTAATTATTAGTCTTCTACAAAGTCTTTGGTAGTACTTTATTGGATGTCTTTGCAGATTCATTCATTGGCATTTGCCAAGCAATTTTCAGGAAATTTCCAGCTAAAATTTGTACAAAATCTCTCCTTGTCCCCTAAGCCTTGCAATTGAATTGATTTGCTGCTACTTGTAGTTTTCTTGGCCTTGCTAATTTGGTTACCAGTGTCCATTTTCTGCAACTTCTTTGGTAAGACCTGCAGGTATACCACTTAGATTATCGCTCTTAATTCAATTATATTCTTTTTGAGATATAAAATAAAAGTATCTAAATTTTCTTTGCATGATATTATTAGCAAACAATTCCTCTTTTTAAATTTTTTTTTTAACAAATCTTTAGATTCTTCATTTTCAAATTATCTGCTTTTATCGAATTAATTAGTAGCTACTTAATTAATATTGTGAGTTTTTTTTTTATTTTTTGAGTACTTTTAGTAAATATACAAGTGTCTCCAAGAGTCCAAGTGATCTTTCCAAATGATGTTCGTCTTCCAGCAAATATCCATCGCATCCCTCTGGTTAGAAATAACTAGGCTTGAAATTTTTCAAGTTGATCAACTGCTACTTTTAATTTGGTTATGGACATCCATTGTCTCCTAAACTGGTAGGTACGCTAATTATCTTTATCTTCAATTTTGATTACTCTATGTTCTCGTTGATGTATAAAAGTAGAATGCCCAAATTTACCTGTTGACTATAGTTGACAAATCCAATTACCTCTAATATAAAATGGAAACAAATTACCTCACTAAATAATCGGATGATACAAATAACTAAAGATTTAATAGACAACATCATGCTATCTCAAGACTTGTTAAAGACTTATTAAATATATGTTCTTGAGATCTTTTGCAACTAATCTCCCAAGCAAAAGTATCACCTTAAACAAACAATGCTAAATCATGCATTGCATCATACATCATGCAAGACTAATTACCAATGTCCTCTATTGTCAGAGACATTTTATTAGGTTGGTGAAGGAATCTGTAAGTCATCCAAAGTTCAACTAAATCATCTTTTTTAAATTCAAAATTCTTTGGAAATAATGACTATTGAGAAAAAAAATTTCAAAGGAGAAGGGAAATGATTGAAACTTATTTTTAAAATAAATAAATGGCAAAAAAGGTATATTTATCCATTTACTTTCAGTGATGGCTGAAATGAACCTTTGTCCATTTTCTTGAAATAAATCTCCCCCTATATTTTCAAGTTAAATGAAATTAACTATCTAACATTTCAATTGAAATGAATTAGAAAAAATTTAATATATGATATCATCATGTCATCATTCCATCTTTCCTCTTCAATACCTGTTAAGTCTTTCTTTTCTATTAATATGAAGTAGTTGCACAATTATTGATCACTTTATAACAACATACTAATTTTGTACATTTTTTATTGTAACTTTATTGGATTTCTTTTTGCAGATTCATTTTCCTAGGATTTGTCAAGCATCTTCTAGGAAATTTCCAAATATAATTTGTACAACTTCTCACCTCTTTCTCATCTCACAGAATTAGCCTTACAATTGAGCTGATTTACTGCTACTTCTAATTCTCTTGACCTAGCTAAAGTATCCATTTTCTGCAATTTCTTTGGTGAGACATGTAGGTATATCATCTAGATCTTCAATCTTTTACTTCAAAAAAAAAAAATCTCTAGATATTCAATCTCTTTTCAGTTATATCCTCTTTGAGATATAAAATGAAAATATCTAAAATTTCTTGTAAATGCATGACCTTATTAGCAAAACTCTTCACTCTAAATTAGAACATCTAAATTTTTTTTAATTGACTTTAAAGGCTAATCAGATGCTACTTGTAATTTGGTTGGCTTAATTTGGTTATACACATCCATTTCTTCAATTTTTTCTGCTAAACTTGCAGCTAACACTAATTATCTTGATCTTCAATCCTGACTCTGTTTCTGTTATGTTCCCGTTGATGGTCGAAGGTGAATTGCCTAAATCCATCCCTTAACTATAACAATAAGGACAGAGCCAATTAAATTACTAGAAAAATGACTATGCAGTGTCATATAGTTAATATACAGTATAAAAAAAATTAATTGACACAAAATCAGCATGTCCATATGAAATAAACTTGTGTCAAATGATATTTTACACTGTATTTAAAAAGAAAATAATATTTGACACACAATGCAATGTCAGCTAAATGTTTATGGTCAATACAAATACTCAAATGTTAAACACTAGCCATGTCATGTTTGACACTGCCAAAGTGATGTCAAATAGTAATATACTACTAGTCGATGTATGAGTGTTATGTTAACCATATACATGTATTTGACGCCATATACCACAGTTTCAAATATTTTTTTTATAAAATAAAAAATAAATTTCATTTTCTACTTTAGTAATATTACAATAATATATAATTAAATATCATAAAAGCACAAATATTCAAGTAATATATATACACACAAAAAAATTATACATAATTGCATAAAGTTATCTCATAATAGAGATATTATAAGATGTGGATCATATCATTAAGAGATATGATTAATATGATTATAAGAATAAACCTTAGATTTTAAATTTTATGTTAAGGAACCCTTCTCTATTTTCCAAGCTTTAATTTCTTTTATATGGTATTGAAACTGTAAACTTCACGGCATGAGATCTTGATTTCTTTTTTTCAATCCCTTTTTATTTTATTTTTTCTCTTTCCATTAATTAGTCAATATGATACATAAAAATAAATACTACATGTCATTCTATGGCTCCAAAATACAACATTACTTCAATACTTGGTCAAAAACATTTAATTCTTTGGTTTCTATTTAATTTTTTTCTTTTCTTTTTCAGTTGTTCTGGAACTCCATCTTATGAATTGATATCGAATTTACAAGGTGTACCTTTGCTTAGTTAGATTTGGAAAGGAGAAATCAGTGAAAAAGTACAAAATATCAAAATATTTCTTCTGTAAGTTTCTCAAATGAAATTCCTGTAGAATCTTCTTCTACATTTCATTTTCACCATATACATATCTGCTCATGTAACATTATTCTGCATGTTTTTCCGTGTCTCAGAATTCAATTGTGTTTGCAATCTTTCCCTCTGTGTCCAATCATAATGGCTGAAATCGCCTTCACCATCCTCAGCCCTGTCATTGAGGAGGCAGTTTCCAAAACATTTTCATTTCTTAAAAAACGAATTGGACTTGCAGTGGGTTTGGAAAAGGAGCTTGATAGGCTTGGCGATTCTCTTATTCTCATTCAATCTGTCATCCAACACGCAGAGGAAAGGCAAGAGAGTGACCCAGCTATAAGGCATTGGCTACAGAAGCTGAAAGACGTAGCTTATGAGGCAGTGGATGCATTGGGTGAGTGTGAGTACAAGGTTCTTAAGAACAAAGTCAAGAGTCGTAGGCACTGGAATCCTGAGTCCGTCTACTTTTCTCCCTTGTTTCGTAATCGTATGGCTGACAAAATCAACGACATTACTAAGCAGTTGAATGACTTGAAAGACTGGGCCAGCATGATTAACTTAGTGGTCTCATTGAGAGGCCAAACCTGTCCAAGGCAACATCAAAAGACAGATTCTTTTCTTGATAATTCCACAGTATTCGAAAGGGAAGCTGATGTGTCAAGAATTCTTACCTTGTTGCGTGACTTGAGAAGGAGTCAACATCCCATCTCTGGCATTTCTATTGTAGGTATGGCTGGGATTGGAAAGACGACAATAGCAAAATCAATATACATGAAAACCAAGGAAGAAAAGCTCTATGATCTAGCGGCCTGGGTGTGTGTATCCGAGGACTTCAATGATCAAATCATATTGGGAGAGATGTCAGAGCATTTTGGTTGTAGTGCTGCTCCAAGGAACAGTATTAATGCATTGCTTGAAGATCTTACAAAAAAGTTAGAGAATAAAACTTTTCTTCTCATTCTTGATGATGTATGGAATGAAGATCCTGACAAGGGGGAACACTTCAGCTCTTGTTTGTTAAAGATTCTGAAAACTACTGGGAGCTCTATTGTCATAACAACTCGTAGTAGAAAGGTAGCATCTGCGATGGAGTCATTTCCCATGCAAAGCTATGACATGGAGAGGTTATCAGATGATGTATGCTGGTTGATAATAAAAGAGAAATTTCTTCGATCATCCACAAAAACTCCAATGACTCCTGATTTGGAAGTTATTGGACATGATATAGCAAAAAAATGTGGAGGTTTGCCATTAGTTGCTAGTGTCATTGGAGGAACATTGAGCCGTCAAACTAGTGCAGATGAATGGAAGGATATCAGAGACGACAAAGCATGGACTTTGAATTCACGAGATGGAGATAAAATTTTATCTATTTTGAAAATAAGTTTCAATCATTTGACTTCTCCTTTGAAAAAGTGCTTTTCTTACTGTTCAATTTTTCCAAAGGATTTTGTGATTGAAAAAGATGATTTAGTTCAACTTTGGATGGCTCAGGGGTTTCTTTACCAACCTAATGAAAGTTCTGCGACAATGGAGGATGTTGGTAATGATTACTTTAGTAGTTTGCTATCTAACTCCTTATTTCAAGATGTGAGAAGGGGCGGATATGGGGATATTATATCTTGCAAGATGCATGATGTTGTCCATGATTTAGCATTGTCTGTTTCAAAAGTTGATACTTTTGTCTGGGAGACTGGTTGCAAAATTGACCATGATGCTAAAATTCAACATTTAAGAGTTAAGCATGACAAGAACAAGCATCCAATCATTCCAAGAGATGTTGCTCAAAGATTGCATTCTTTGTTTTTGGAAGAGGTTGATGTTTTCATTTCGAATGCATCTGATCTCAAAAGCTTGCGAGCTTTAAAAATAGTGAGAGCTACGGGAGGACGGCTGCCCATTATTCTTGGCAAACTAAAGCATTTGAAATACCTTGACCTCTCGAGAAGCAGAATAGTTGGACTACCGAAATCCTTTTCCAAACTCTACAAATTGCAGACTTTTAGACTTATGGGGTGCTCTTCTCTGCACATGTCTAATGAGATGAGAAATTTGATCAACTTAAGACATTTTTATTTTGACAACAAAGAGCGGATGCCAAGAGAGATGGGGCATTTAACTTCCCTTCAAACCCTATCAATGTTTGTTGTGAATGGGGCAAACTTGGACCAACTTGGATGTCTAAGTCAACTTAGAGGAGCATTGAAAATATGCAACCTTAAATTTTCCAGATCTATGTTAGAAGCTGCTAAAGCAGACTTGGAAAAGAAGGCAAAATTGTATAGGTTGGAATTTGAATGGGGTAAAAACAATGAAGGCTCCAACAATTATGAGGTTCTAGAAGGTATTAGGCCTCCCTCAAATTTGAAAAACTTAAAAATTGAAGGTTATAATGGAGAAGAGTTTCCATCATGGCTGGAAAAGGGTGTAAACTTTTTTGGCGATTCATCTCCCCTGAACAATTTGTTGACATTGAAGTTATATAACTGCAATGAATGTGTAGAGATTCTGAGCTTGGGATTTATACCTAAGCTTGAGGATCTTGAAATAGAAGGAATGCCAAAGGTGAAACGTATGGGCAGCAAGTTTTGCCTTAACAGAAGCAACATGACAAGTAGTAGTTGTGGTGACAGAGATTCAATCACATTGTTCCCAGCTTTGAAAAAACTCAATATAAGAGACATGAACATCCTAGAAGAATGGGCAGAAATAGAAAGCACCACCGTCTTTCCTTGCCTTGAGGACTTGTGTGTTGAAAAATGTCTGAAGTTGAAGACCTGGTCAATGGGTGGATTTTCACCTCATCATAAGCTCTCAAAAGCAGTGATTCGTTATTGTCCGGAACTGGTGACTCTTCCAAGTATAGAAGGGCTCTTCTCTCTTAGAAGTTTAACCTTATTTGTATTAGGATCTTTACCAAGTGGGCTGGGCTCCTGCAGTTGTCTGGAGTATTTGGACCTTGAATGGTGCCATATGTCCGATCTGAGCATGAAGGGGATGTTCTCTCTTGAAACATTAATAATTGGTCACTGTGAAGAACTGATCCGTGTGTCTGAGCTGGAATCCTGCATCTCTCTCCAAACGTTGAAAATTGTCGGTTGTCCCAATCTAATTTCTATTTTAGAAAATATTGGAAGACCAAGTTCGCTTGCTATTTTGAGGATTATTGGTCACAAAAATCTAAGGAGAATTCCAGAGGAATGGCTGGGTAGGCATACCCGGTTGAAGGAGTTAATGATCGGTCTTTTCTGGTCGGAGCTGGAGGAATATCCAGGACTCACTTCCATCTATCAACTCCACGCCTCCCTTGAAGTATTGCTATTGTATGGATGGGATAATCTAAAGTCTTTGCCACATCAGCTTCAACATCTCACTGCCCTCAAGTCATTGCTGTTATGTGACTTCAACAGCCTGGAAGCTTGGCCAGAGTGGTTAGAAAATCTCACTTCAATTTCCCAAATTGAAGATGTCACAAATAGAGCGACCCCAAGAATCCATTTATAGATGTGGATCACATGCAATCTGAATAATAAGAACGAACTGTCAGTAATTGGTTGCAGCTGAGTCAGAAGACTCAGAAGGTACAATGCAGATCAGGGTTTAGTTTACTTTAACAGAAGGTGTATCTGGAATTATGTTGGAATTTTGGGAGTTTTGTTTTGTATAATAAATATCTGCGAAAACATTCATTGTCTGAGGTTTGGGCAGTTCGAGATACAATTGGCTGAACTAAAGACAATGAGCGTTGGTCCTGCCTTTAGATGGGATATGCTTGTGTTAGTTTTCCCGTTCTTTCCCCTTTTTTAAGGAAAAAAAACAATTAATTAGTGAGTAGAGATAGGCTTATGTTGTCTGAAATTATGAGGATGTGCATCTACCTCAATTTTTCTCAAAAATCTGGTTTGGATGCTGGTAGAAAAAATTGCATGCTTTGAACTTGCTCTCTGTGATTAATCTTGATAGTTGAGTGAATTATATGCTGTGAACTTGGCAATTGCATGCTGGTAGGAAAAATTGTATGCTTTGAAATTGATCTCTGTGATTGGTAAGTGAATTATATGCTCTATGGACTTTATCTCTGTGATAGATCCTTATTGGTAAGGCAAAAGGTCTTGAGGTCAAAATCAGATTTGCGGGTTTCACTTCAGAATTTTCATCCCCCCAGACACATATTTGTTGCATCCAGTATGATTCAATTTAAGTGATGTTTCGTTTCTTATGTAAAGTTCAGATATATGCCTGTCTTCCATGAATCTGATTGTAAATTTGTTTTCTGATTTTCATCTTGTTGGATTGTCATTAAGATATCTTCCCCTTGTACTGCAGAGAATAACATCTCTCATCCATGTGCTTGCCATATTATGAGCTGGTGGATGCCCTTTTTGAGACAGAGATCGATCAAAGAGACAAAACAAAGAATTTGCATAAACATATATTTGCAGGATAGGAGCTTCAAGATTTAATTTTTCAGGTCTGTATTCGCCATGACCCTGATTTTGGATTTTAGTTTCATAAAGTCAAAATACTAATTTATGGTGTAACTTTTTTTTAATAGTGTAGGCTTCTATGTTTCCTCATATTCATTATTCTGTTTCTGTATTACACATTGAAATTGGAAATTAATAAATTGAGTTGCTTCTATGTGGATTTTCTAAATTTAATTAAAATTTTGCAGGAAACAAATACTGGGCATGGCTGCCCAAATTTTCCTTCTCAGCTTTCATTACCAGTCCTAAATTATGCCCCACTAAAGTTCCAAATTCCTTTTCCTTCAAGTCCAATCGTAATTAAGGTCAGCCTTTTAGCTCCAATTTGCAATATATGTAATGCAATTTGACCTGAAATTGTACATTCTAAAGAAACTCGAACACAATGCTTCCTTTATGTAGTTGATTTTTTATGAACTGATAGTGAAGTTACCACTAAAACGTCTATAAAACATTTGCAGGGGACTTGAATTGTACTCTTGCAGCAGTGATGACAATTGCAGGGAAGGTTCTATTTTATTCAAAGCATCAACTGCAACATTGTTTGTCATCTTAACTGCAGGTAGCTGCATTGTCTTAGCCTTAAAATGAAGAAACAAATCCAATAAAGTGTGATTTATCCTGTAAAGTTCACTAATATAGTTTGCTGTTACATCTGTTCTCACTGAACTTTCTATGACAAATCATATGAAAGGAAGTTGAATGCAGAAGAGAAGAGCGAAGCATCATTTATGCCAAACAATCTGAGCTCTTGAAAATTACCAACAACATCTTTTAAGGAGTTCCTTGCAAAGGTCTGCACCTCTGACCCCTAAAATTCTTTTGAGTTCTTTCCCTTAAACATTAAGCTGTGACTCCATTAAATCTTGAGGTTAAACTTCTTATGAGAGGTATTCATGCAAGCTTGACAGTGAAGGCCACGAGCACTTATCTACCAGTACATGGCTAAGACTTAAAATAGCAGTTGTCAGGTTCTTTGAAATACTTGAATCCAATTGTATTTATTTTGAACTTTCATAAACTCAAACAGAAGTTATATCATTAACTGTTGTGTGAATGCAGATAGGAATGTATCTAATTTTGAGCTGGGAAGAGTCTTCTAATAACAAAGAACACTCTGCTTCAGATTCATACTTCGTAGAACCTGAAGCTGATTTTCATGGTGAGACATGACTGGATGTGGTTCATTTTTCTAAAGTTTAAGTGATTATCTCTTTGCAAGTTGCATCCATATAATTAATAAGTAGCAATGCTGTAATTCTGGGTGTAGTAACTTCATCCAGGAAGATTCCTAGATATGTATGATTTACTGATAGAATGGGTTCCTTTTTGCAGGCCTTATATGCTGATAATTTAAATGCTTTTATTCTGCACCTGCAGCAAAGAGAAATAGAAAAACTTCATGAAATCTGAAGTGGAGGGCTATTGGAGTATCTGCATAATGTAATCATAAGGAACTGGTAAGACTTTTCAGCATTAATTTGCATTGGTTTACTATTTTAAATCCCCCCTTAGCTTTTCTTTAGAAACTAAATTAATTTACATTTGGTACTACTTTTGTGCCTTGCAGTTTTCATAGTTGCCGTGCATCAAAGCCATCAGCGAGTGTAAACTAAAGCAATTCATATAACTAGTAAGTAGTAATTCATCAATTCGAGTGGTTGCTCATCCAGGAAGATTATATATTCCTTGACAGGTTCTGGTTTTACTGACAAAGCAGCTTTGCAATTTCTTGCAGGCCTTATTTTATGGAAGGTTTGGTTTTGTTCTGCACTTGTTGCAAACAGAATTAAACAACAAAACAACATCAAATCCTTTGATTATTTTGGAAAGGGGCTCTGAGATATTGGCACAATTCGATTTGGAAGGAAGTCTAAATCTCCATGGTCCATTTCTGGTTTCCAAAGTGGATCTACTTTGGCAAATAGTTCAAGGAATTTGTCTACTTTCATTATATAAATATATATATATATATTTTTCTCTCTTCTTGATTATGATTCTTACAGTTTGGGCAATGAACATCAAATCCTTTGATTATCCTTTTTCTTATTCTTCTTCTCCTTTTTTTTTTTTTTTTTTTTTTTTGGTTAAAAGACTCTTTTTTAGCAAAGGTCTTTCATAATGTAGTTTCATTTACATCATTACACTCGATGTACTTGGAAAATGCAAGGATACTTTTTGAAGTTCTTTATGTATTTCGTGGACTGCAGCGCAGGTTCTGTTTATAAATATTTGTACATGTTTATATCTCTCTAGTTATGCATCAAACAAATTTCCTATATAGCTTTCTTGCCTTTCCATTCTCTTGAGCAAACAGTAGATTGAGTTTCTCTATTTACCATAACCTAATGTTTTCAAGACCACTATTTTTGTACCAATATATGATCTTTCTCATATGGTCATTTCAAAACTCGTAATTCTGGCAAAAACAAACTGGGCAAGGTGCAACAACATAACAGGACTGAGTTCAAACGTTGGGCCTGATAATGGACTATTTTGGGCTCCATGGTGAAATGACTAGGACATTATCAAACATGACTATTAACACTAAATGAGTCAGGGAGATTTGCTGTCATCTCTGATGGCATGCGGTCTAGGCTTTTGGTCATCAAATCCTTTGATAACCCCTTGGATTAGATTCACTAATAAATAAATGCTGTGTTCCGAGTTGAATTTAGGATTCAAGTCTTTCATTAGGGAGTAATAATAACTCACTGGGAAGTGCAAGTTTCTTTCATATTTCCTTCTTTTTCCTCTTTTATACATTTCTGAAGAAAATGAATGGGATGTTTCTGCTATATCTCCATTTTGGTGAAGTGTGAGTTACCCAGCAATGTCCTTTCCTGTTGCTTTGGCTTTCCTTCTACTACTTTTTCTAAAGGGTGCGTTTGCTTTCTCAGAAAATATCCTTTCTCATAATTTTATAAAGGTATTTTGATACTTATATATTTTAAAATAAATCTGTTTTCATTACTTTTTTTTTAGTTGAATGAAATTAATTTTTT